GTAGTGGCGACCCGCGACCATGGAGATATAAACAGCTTTTTATAAGGTAAAAATAATAAAACAAGGTCTTTGTCTGCAATGATTAGACATGTTTTTTTTATTGTCATTAGTGATTATCTCAATTTTGGCAAAAAGAATTGACAAAATCCTACACACTGTGCCTTTAAAGAAATTAATGAAGAATTGAAACTGAAAACTTGTTTTCAAACGGGGCTTTTTAATTTTTTAGGTCTGACAACTTGTGTGAAGTCCTCTGAATCGAATCGTGAGGTTTCTAAAGACTCCCACCTCTATCCCATGTGTTGCGTAATCACCTGACAGCTGTGCTGCTGCTCCACTGGAACAAGAACCTCAACAAGCTTCCTTCTTCAGGCAACACAGCTGTTTAAAGTCCCAAAAACAAAATCCCCACCACGTTATGGTGCCGTCTTCTTTYAAATCGAAAAGGAAGTTGACCTTAATAAATTAGAATGCTTTTAAGTTCCTGTGAGAGCATAAGAGATTATGTTTGTCATCTAATTGCTGTTTCAATTTCAGGTGACATTTTCAGGAGGTTTGAGTCGTCGCTTCATATCTGTGTGCTATTTACCCATTTCAACCTCGTGACACGGGCTCAGRCGGGCACGCTGAACCGAAATCTCTGCTATAAAGCTGGATCATTTGCCTCGAGGCTCTTTTTAAATYGAGACGTGACGGGCGGCATCACCACAAAACTGAATAAGTCCCCGTCCCTGATGTTGGCTCGGCTTCAAAATCAAAATCTTTCCTTTTTAAATTTGTTCGCACGTTGAGGAGAACGCTCGCAGGAGGACATCAAACACAATCACTTTTATCCCTGTGAAACAAATATCTATTTTTAGCTTTTCTTTTTTTTTTAAAGTCAGGTATTCTCCTGTGTGTGCTCATCGAGATGCAGATCAGTGCATCATCCTCCTGTCAGTTTACAGAGCAGGAATCTCTCTCTCTCATACTGCCATCATCATATACACTTTCATAAAGCCCGAGCTTCCTTCTCCTCTGCAGCACTGCTACACTACAACCACAATGGGACACTTATTTCTCTGTGTGGCGGGGGAAGAAAGAACTAAATTTGCTGCAAAAAAAAACAAAAAAAAAAAACAATCACACCAAGGCTGTAGGACAGAGTCTGCATAATTCATGTTAACAGTGCAGAGAGACATTCACAGGGAATGGGTCTCCAAAGTTTCAAGAAGAARAAAAAAAGTCAGACGCTTCATATKTGACGCTCGAGATGTCGCTCTAAATTAAAAACTTATGAAAACTCTCGTCTCTGAGTGGAGGAAGGGAGTGAACACGAGGACACAAAACTGGGAGTGCTGACTGTCRCCGAGAAAATCTGGTCTTAATTATGAAAACTGACGCAAGGCTTTAAGGACAATTAGTTACAGGAAATAATGCTGATGGACTTAAAGCAAAAGGAGAAAACTTAGGTCCACAAACCTGCTGTTTCAGACCAAACAATCATGATTAAATGTCTAAAATGTTGCACCAAAAAGTAGAGTTTGCCTGGTTAAAATCAGACCCTTGTCCTTCACTTTGCTTTGTACGAGGGTCTGGACTCTCGGAGAAGCTATTCTTGCTGGAGATAATGAAAATGATTGGATCGGTTGGCCACGATGTATGAGTGCCWGCTCCACTGTGAAGGAGGCTAAGCTAAGTAGCTAACTGGAAATTGTGTGYGCTGTAAACAACCCTACTGAGAGGAGAGAAGTACCGAGCCAAATGAGACGGCTGTAAATGAGAGCTGCTGCTTTGWCAGACAAATTTAATTTMATTTGGAAGCCTTATCAWCACAGACTGGCTTCATTCACTTCCTCCACTGCCGTTTGCTAAAATAACTAGCAGACACTGTGCTGAACATCGACATCGTTCAAAACTCCGCCTTCTGTTTTCTGATTGGCCCGGATGAAAATTCTCCTGAAGAAATACTTGTCTATGAGAGAAATCGGGAAACTAGAATTGAGCGGAACTGCATAGGAAGGAAAGGGCCAGGCTAAGGTTTTTCAAGCTGAGCAGTTAAATTTAAATTTAGACATCCGACAGAAACCCAGAAGGCGAAGCCATGACAGGACCAGCATTCCCTTAAAGTGTATCTTACCCCCCATGTGAAAAGATAACTCCGCCCCAAGGCGAAATTTAAAAAATGCATCAAAGTGGGTAGGGGAGGGGG